TTATAATAATCGATAGCACAGCGTAGGGCATTTGTCTTGTGCGCAGCCAGCCCAGCCGAGCCGGGTTTGATTCCTCCCCCTCTTGGAGAACCCGGCAAGCTACCGAGAGTATCTTGCTTGCCGCAATATGCCAAACATAGTAACAACAAGTCTCAAAAATGGAGACATTACTGGGCCCTCTAAGCAAATCGATGAACAATGGGAGGACAGTGACAGTGTAATAATCGAGAAAATACTGAAAAGAAAACTAAATGATTGTGCTTTTTAATGACTTATAGGACACATACAACTGGAATCGGGAGGTAACTAACCCAAACAGCGTAATGCTCAATACGAAGAAAAGAATGTGGTGTTGAACACGGGGAAAGGAGTGTAAAAACACATATGGAGACTGAATCTCAAAAGTTTGGGATGAGACTAGCAAGTTCTTTTGAATCAATTCCAAGTTTTTTTTGTCTCCCCCAAATACACCAATTGGAAACAGCAGCTGCAGAATTAGATTAGCTTGGGCATACACACAAATGAACATGCATATCACTCCCTTGATTACTCTGTGAAATTGAGTAAAACGTTGGGAAAAAAACAATAGAACAGAAAAAGGGCTAATAAGCAAATTCGTCGCTCTACAATTGTGATTTCAGGGTCCCTGACACAATTTTAGGAGATTCAAATTTTGGCAGTATTGATACCATCTATACCCTAAACAAAAGGAAAGTCTGGGGGATTGGGAGATGGCTCAGAAGGCTGGTGTACATGCTCTGCATGAGATAGGTTTGATCAGGCACTGCCTGAGTACTGAGTGACTCACCTGAGTATCTCTGGGTGTGGACTCTTAGCGAGAGAACAAAAGGACTGTAGGGCCAGACAAATCTAGATTTAAGTGCAAACATTGCCTCTTAGCAGTGTGATTCCAGAAAATTATCTGGTTCTCAAACTTGTGGGCAGAAATAATAGTAAACTTTTTTTTTTTTTTTTTTTTTTTTGCATTTTGGGTCACACCTGGCAATGCTCAGGGGTTACTCCTGGCTCATGCACTCAGGAATTGCTCCTGGCGGTGCTCAGGGGACCATATGGGGTGCTGGGAATCGAACCTGTGTTGGCCATGTTGGCTGCGTGCAAGGCAAACGCCCTACCCGCTGTGCTATTGCTCCAGCCCCAATAGTAAACTTTTTTGTGTGTGTGTGTGATAATAAATAAAGTTCATAAGAAGCTTTTTGTGCTAATGTTTTAAACAGAATATATCACTTTATCCTTTGTGTTATGTTCACATTGTACCATTATCACCACCATTGGCCATCTCCTTGGTATCTAGACTACAGTGTTGGGTTTTTTTCTTATTTCTTTTAAATCCTAATTTACAAAAAATAAAAAATAGATAATATACAAGTTCCCATTTAATCTTCACTGCCCCCTAATTTCCTTAATTTCCTTTTTATTAACACTAGTATTGTACATGTGTTTCAACAAATGAGCCAGGTTGATTGATATATTAACTTAAGTTGATTGATATATTATTAACTGAAATTTATATTCCCTTAGTTTTTAAGCCACAGTGTTTTCTTTTCTATTCCAGGATTTTTTCTATTCTATTCAGAATCTTACATTTAGTTTCCTGTCTTTTTATTCTTCTCTCGTCTCTTCAAGCTCAGATTTTCCTTATTTCTGCTGACAGGGACAGAGTTGAGTACTCGCCATATATATTTTAAGTATCAGTCACTTTTTATATGCAACATTTTGTGATTAAAAAGTATTAGCCAGATAGCATAGCAGGTAAGGCGCTTGCTTGTCTTGCATGTGCCTGATCCAGGATTGATTCCCTGCCAGGAGTAAGCCTTGAGCACTGTCACTCCCACAACATCCCAACTCAGAGTGCATTATTTCTTCCTCAGCTTTGTGGAACTCACCCCTTCCTTTCTCGTACTTCCTAATAGAGCTCTCCTACTTCCCCTCAAATTCATTTCTGCAGATAAATTGAATCTAGAAAATGGAGGGTGGGACTTTTTCCTTTTCCTGCAGAGTATACGTTCCCTCAGCCTGGAAACTATGGCTCCCCCAAAACTCAAGTGGCTGAGACCAGAGTGGTCTCAAGTGCATAGATGGCTGCTTTGAGTGAAACTGGGAAAAGGTTGTAAAGACTTTTACCAATCCTAACCTTCCTCTCACACTCAACTGGCAAATTCATGTCAGGCCAGGCAGGAAGTTGCTAACATTACAGTAGCTATCTCCCCCTATTCTGTGCCACCCCATTCACTCTGCTGGTGCTTGTTTGATGATTTGTCTCCCCTTTGCACGTCTCACTGGTTCTTCAGATGATTAGATTGGTAATTTGGTACCAAGGTACCAAATAATCTCAGTAATTTGAGCCAGCCAGAAGACCAATCAAAAGGTTGCTTATTTTCCAAGATGGCTGGAGTGATAGCACAGGAGGTAGGGCATTTGCCTTAAATGGGCAGACTGGTTGACCAGAGTTCAATTCCTCTGCCATCAATTCCTGCGCCCCTCTTTGAGAGCCCAGCAAGTCTTGCCCGCAGTGCAAAGCCTGACAAGCTACCCATGACATATTGGATATACTGTAAAATCTTATCACGCCAAAGGTTGTGTGTTCACGGGCTCACTGGATGACACTGTCTCACTGCCTGCGTTCGGTGCTCTTGAGCCACTGTGTGTGGCCTGGATCGGAACGGCTGTTGGCCAAGGGCAGACAGAATAAGAAACGAGGGCCAGGCCAGTCTATATCAATAGTAGTTTATTCCAATCCTCTTCACTCCTGTCTTTCTCTGCCTCCTTCTCTCCTGGGCCCCAATCTTGGAACCTCTCTCCTTCTGGCTCTGACTCTGGATCTCTGGAGCCCGAGCTCTCTCGCTTCTGACCCCCTTTCCGAGCTTACGTCTTAGTTTATATAGCAGTCACATAAGGCAGTGACATAAAGGTGGGTTGAATACTGACGAATCAACAAAGAGAGGTAAGACCACTCCTCCAGGAGATTAACTCAAGGATGAAATCTCATCTACAGAGATTACTTCAGATTACTAGGAGATCTGCCCAAGGGTGGGATCCCAAGAAGGGTGTGTTCTTCCCTCAGTTACTAATCTACTTAAATAGTTGTAATAAATCTACTTCTAATATTTCTAGCAATGTCATTCTGTATGAGCACAGTAAGAGATATAAATTTAGTTTGGTTCTTCCGGAGAACATCTCACTATACATTTCGCAGTCCTCAGGCCAGGTTAATCTTCCTAGCTCCAGCAGGGTCCTAGTCTCGTCGTTACTTACTTTTGGATCATGACAGCATTTGTCCATGATCATGCCCTCAACTTATAGTTGAGTATCGTGGCTCTTTGGCCTGGCCCATTTCGATGTCAGGGTAGCTCACTGCTTGCCCTGGTCCACTCAGTCCCTCGTCGGGACCCTGCTTTTGGGGTGCTAGGAACTAAGGGCAACTGAGTCAAGAAATCAGATGCCCAGGAGTAAATATTATTCGGAGTCAATCAACTCCCAAGTTACAAAGCATAATATTAACTGTCTTCCTGTGTCCACACAGAAAGGACATTGCTTACAATACAAGTTCAGTGTCCTTAGATGGGTGTGAGCTGACAAACCTAAGCTACCCGAGGAAGGACAAAAGAGTGTTATCCTACAGATATACCAAACACAGTAACAAGTCTCACAATGTTACTGGGCCCGGTGAGCAAATCGATGAACGGGAGGACTGTGATAATGACAGTGACTGGTGAGAACACCATCTAGGGCTTCTGAACAGGCCAGAAATCGATGTAAATAGTTTTAATCTTCTCTAATTTCTTTTTCCTCTTCCTCTCTCTAGAAATCTAATAGAAACTAGATGTTAAGGATATTTCATTTCTTTCTCTAAATTTAAGATCAGTAAGAAAAAAATTTAGGGTGAAGCAGACAGCAAAGTTGGAGGTAAGGGAATTGGCAAAGAATATCAGGAAGCCAGGGATCAAATCAGGGTGGACCGCGTGCAAGACAAGCGCCTCAACCTCTCTCTCTCCGGCCCCAGCAAAATTCTCTTAAAATCCTATTGCACTGGGGCTGGAGTGATAGTACAATGGGTAGGGCTTTTGCCTTGCGCGCTGCTGACCCGGGTTTGATTCTCAGCATCCCATATGGTCCCCTGAGACTGCCAGGAGTAATTCCTGACTGCAAAGCCAGGAGTAATCCTGGTGCATCGCCGGGTATGACCCAAAAAGAAAAACAAAATCCTATTGCATTATTGAGAATCTCTGACGAGTCCGGGAGGGTCGCAGTTCGTTGGCCGATGCGGATCAGACACAAAGTGGCCCGAGAGGCACAGCGAGAAACTGTCCGAGTCTGCAGGTTCCCAGCAGGTGGAAGCCACGTTGCAGTCACAGCCGTCATGCCCTCAGCCCCGAAATACGACGTGGCGCCTCACTTGACGGGCTTCGCAGTCGGGGGCACTAAGCCAGCCGCAGACCACTGGATCTACGAAAGATGCGCAGCGTCCACTCGGCTGCTCTCTTCCTCCCGGCATCCCGCGCGCGCAGGGCGGGGCGGAAGGGCGGAAGGGCGGAGTCACAGAGGGGCCGGCCCCGCCCATCGCGCCAACGTCTCTGCGCAAGTTCCGGGCGCTGGCTTCTGGCGCTTTCGACGCGTCTCCGGGCCCGGCGGCCTCCTCCTCTGGCGTCGGCGTCTCTGAGGCCAGCCTCTGGACTTGGTTGACAGCAACGACGAGAAAGACAACCCGTTTTCGGCTCTCTCTCTCTCTCGACGGAAACGAGCCGGTTGGCTTCTCTCTTGGCGTGTGAGGCGTCGGCGGCTCGCCGTGAGTTTCCTGGGGCCGGGGTCGGGCCGGCAGGTCCCTCAGCTGTGGGTGAGCGGGACAGCGCCGGACTCCCCAGGGGACAGGCCGGCTCGGGGCGTCGTGGCTGCCGCGAGCGGGCTGTGCCGCCGGGCCGCTCCGCGAGGTTGACTTTCCGCCCCCCTCCCCCACCCCTCCGTCTTGTTTATTCCAGGGAGTGACCTGCCGGGCCGGCCGCGGCTCCGAGGGGCGCCATGTCCGAGTACGTGAACGACCTGTGGCCGGGCTCGCCGCCCGACGCCTCTCCGTCCGCGTCGCGCTCGGGCCAGTCGAGCCGCCGCACGTCGGCGTCGCGGAGCCGCTCCTCTTCCCGAAGCTCCCGCTCCAGCGGCTCGAGCCGGGCGTCGTCCCGGGGCCGCCGGGACCGGCGGGGGCGGCGGCGGCGGCGCAGCGGCAGGTCGCGGTCGCGGTCGCGGTCGCGGACGGGGCGGCGGCGGCCCTCGCGCAGATACCGGCGCTACTCGCGCTCCTACTCGCGGAGCCGCTCGCGGGCCCGGGGCCGCCGCGCCCGGCGCTCCGCCTCCTGCGGGCGGGCCTCCCGCGTCTCCCCGCGGGCCCGCGCCCGCTCCCGCTCCCGCTCGCGGGGCCGCTCGTACGTGCGGCGGGCGTACGCGGGGCCGCGGGGCCGGCGCTACTACGGCTTCGGGCGCACGGGCTTCCCCGAGGAGCGCCGGAGCTGGAGGGGGAGATCCCGGACGCGGTCCCGGAGCCCGACCCCCTTTCGGCTCAGTGAGAAAGGTGAGCGCTGGGGGCACGAGGTGCTGCTGATTTGGGGGCCTGAAAGCTGAGTTGCGGTGGGTGGGGGGTGGGGGGGAAGAAGAGAAGGGTTAAGGCGCCCCGGGTTCCCCCTGGGGAATGGCCCCGGGCCGCGGGATCGGCTTCCCTCGTGGCTGGCAGTTTGGTTTGAAGCTTTTCAGGCGTGGTGACTTGAGGGCCCGAGAGCGAACGGGGTTAAGACTTTGGTGACTTTGTTGTTTACCTTCTCTCAGCTTCTGCTGAGCTAACAATAGGATGGGGGGAAAAGCCTAAAAACAAACATGACTTTATTTTAGTCGTGCAGCATCTTAACTGAACAAAAGGAATTTCCCAGTGTTTAAGGGAGGAGGGAGGAGGGCGCTTGATGGCCTTGGGGGGCGGGGGGGGGGGGAGAAACCAATAAATGTTATTTGGTGAAACGGGGGGAGGGAAGAGATGGATGACTTGTGAACTTGAATGAAGGGGGGAAAGGGGGAAAAGCCATCTGTTAGACAAAAAAACTGGCTGGGAAGTAGATTAATATATCATTAGTTTATTATGGCAGTTGTACAGTATAAAATGTCTTTCAAGAAGCTTGATGTTCAGAATTCCTTTTTTTGTGTTTTGTTTCGGGGATGCAGCTGATATGCTCAGGACTTATTCCTGGTGGGACTCCACGTAACGAGTAGGGTACAAGGGATTGAACTAGGGTGGGCTTTTTTTTTTTTGCAAGGCAAGTACTTAACTGTCTTCAGGAAACAATATAGCTCCAGTCCCTCAGTATTCAACTTTTGAGAAGGCAAAAATGGGGTATTTTGACATTTGGTAAGGAAAATGCTATCAGGGATGCTTATTTTTCTCTGTAAAAAAGGTTTTGTAAGAGGGTTTGTTTCTGTGAGTATATTTTACATTGGTATGAAGATATTGTTGTAATGTTAGAGTTTAAATGTTTATTTTACGGACACAGTGTTTCTAATTTCTTGAGCCCACCACAAAAGTGTCACTATCCTTCCTGTCTTTCTCTGCCCATGTCTTAGTCTAAGGATTAGTTATCATTGGACATTGTCTATCACCTCATTTTTATTTTCCCTAAAATTATAATTGATACATATTATTATAGTTATATGTATCAACTATACAATAAATGTATAGTTGATACATTTATTGGTATCTCCTCCCCCCACCAAGGCCATCAAGTGCCCTCCTCCCTTAAACACTGGGAAATTCCTTTTGTTCAGTTACCATGCTGCACCGACTAAAATGAAGTCATTTTTGTTTTTAGGCTTTTTCCCGCATCCTATTTTAGCTCAGCAGAAGCTGAGAGTAGGTAAATAACAAAGTCACCAAATTCTGAACATCAAGCTTCTTGAAAGACATTTTATACTGTACAACTGCCATAATAAACTAGTGATATATTAATCTACTTCCCAGCAAGTTTTTTTGTCTAACAGATGGCTTTTCCCCTTTTCCCCCACTTCATTCAAGTTCACAAGTTATAATACTACCAGTTAGATAGTATTTTTTTTGTTTTTAGGTCACACCTGTGATGCTCAGAACTTCTGGCTTTGTGCTCAGGAATCATTCCTGGTGGGGCTTGGGGAGGGGGTCCATATATGGTGCTAGGGATGGAACTTGGTTGGACAGTATAAGGTGAACACCCCAAGTGCTGTATTTTTATTCTGGCCCTAGAGAAGTAGTATGTTTTTGCTTGTGGTGTACATTACTGTCCTGCTCTTTCGCTACCAGAATGCCCTTGCTTTTTTTAAAATTATTTGCCTTGTACATAGCCAATATGGCCGACCTGAGTTCGATTCCTCCGCCCCTCTCGGAGAGCCCGGCAAACTACCGAGAGTATCTCGCCCACACGGCAAAGCCTGGCAAGCTCCCCGTGACGTATTCAATATGCCAAACACAGTAACAAGTGTCAATAATGGAGATGTTACTGGGCCCACTCGAGCAAATCGATGAACAACGGGAGACCATGACTGTATAAGTGAAATCATTTGCTATTAGTATTGCTTACTTCACTTTAGATGAAATCCAGAGTCTTCATGTTGTGTAGCAGAATGCAAAATATCACCCCACACTCCTCCCTCCTGGGCTTCGGTGGAGCTACTTAGGACTCTTACTCCTCGCCAGGTTCAAGGGATGCTATGCTTGGAATTGAACCCGGTGCCTTGTTGCACTGTCTCTCCAACCCCAGCGTTTCAGTTCTTATAGCTGAGTAGTATTCCACTGTTAAGAAATAAAATATTTTGGGGAGGGGGCTCGGAGGGACAGTTAGTTGGTTGGGTGTTTCAAGATGCTGAAAGGCAGGAGGATGACAAAACCCCAATTCCCCAACCATATGTTGTGTGGGCCACTTAACTACACTCTTTCTGGCAGGAGATAAAATCTTTATAATGCTATTCTAAGTAAAAATGGGCTTACTTTAGTTTTTCTGAGCTTGGTGAAATTCTACAGGGTTGATAAACATATGGTATTTATTTTGTAGATCGAATGGAGCTGTTGGAAATAGCAAAAGCCAATGCAGCAAAAGCCTTAGGAACAGCCAACTTTGACTTGCCAGCCAGTCTCAGAAATGTTTCCTTATCTAAAACAAACCCTGGACTATCTGTACCCAATGGTGCAAAGTTTGAGGTAAGTCTTTTGGGTTTCTACCAAATCTTGAGAAACGTACTGCCAAATCTGATCAATTTGACACTATTTGGAAAAGGGTAGCTAATTAATAATTGACTGAAAACAAAAATATTACATCTGACAGTACTAGATAGGGTCTGTCCTTTAAAAATGGGAGATTAGTGAACTTGAATTTCCAGTTGACAAGGTACTACTTAGACAATAAAAAATTCAAGCTGGTACTTTAGTGATTTCTATATAGTTGTCAACTCAATTTAATTCTTTACGGAGTATCTGTAGCTTTCATTTGCACCATTATGTTCCCACAGAGTCTGTGCTCAGCATACAGTATAGTTTATCTGCTTTATTTCTGTCTTATAGAAATCATGAATGTGGTCTCCAGGCATTGATGAAGAAAATCTGTTGGTAATTGGTACATGGGCAAAAGCAACCAAGGTTTAACTAATTTGAAGTTTATATACACACACTGAAAACTTAGTTTCTCATTTGGTAGGTCCATGTGCATGCTAGAGTTTGGGTCAGGAACTATTTAGATAAGAAAATTTTTAGGCAAAAGTACACTTTGTAATGCTGGGGCATCAATGATACAGATGTCCCTTTTATAATATATGCAATATATTCCAGATGTTTTGAGAGATTACAGAAGAGGAGGCCTGCTTCACTTGCAGATAAGTTTGTTATAATTCTCCAGGATGTGCATTGCCATATTGCACAGTGTTTTTAAATTACTGCGTGAAAGTCAAAGCTTAAAACTAATAGTTTTAAAAGGTTAAGATAGTTAAGAATGGATTATTAATTCATGAAAGATATGCTGACTGAATTAACTTACCTTTCCGATCTAGATGTAGTTTTAAGTATAAGTAGAGCACAAAATCTTAGTTGAATGAGATGATTAGTTACCTACTTGGCAAATGATTGACTTCTTTGAAACTGGTATATTTTTATGTGACTTTAATTTTAAAGTTATTTTAATTTGCGTCAAGGGGAGAAAAATACTGCATTGGGGCAATTATGTCTTAAGTCTCTTACACCAATTTTATTACTGAGAAAATTCAAGAGTACTTTGTTTAGGCTGTAAATTATCTCCAAAGTTAGCTCCAACTTTATTTGTTTCTACCACATAAGTTTTTATATGTTTTGATTATTTTCTAATACAGTACTGCAAACCAGTGACACTGTGATTTTTGTTTTTTTCTTTTCTAAATATATATACTTTTCTCTTACGTGTCTAGCTGTCGGAAAAGCTAACTGAAGATGAAACTAAAAACCACAGTGAAAAGTCTTCACAACAAAAAAGCATAGCTTTTAGTTCTAATGTAAGTAGCAGTGTACTGTCCTTGCATTGTTCTTCGATTTGCTTGAGCAGGCCCCCGTAATGTCTCCATTGTGAGACTTGTTGTTACTGTGTTTGGCATATCGAATACATCACGGGTAACTTGCTAGGCTTTACCGTGTGGGCGAGATACTCTCGGTAGCTTGCCGGGCTTTGATGGCTTGTTTTATGTAGAACATAATTTCTTACATGGGGTTTTCATTTAAAGGTTTCATTATGTTTTTCCTTCTTGTAATCATTTGACACCTTCTAAGTCACTTTATAGATTTTTTTGTGTGTCCTCTTTGCAAGTGATCAATATAAAGCTTTCATCTAATTATCCATATTCTATTTTGTGGGGGGCGGTGGTGAGGGTTTTTTTTTTGTTGTTGTTGTTGTTTTAAATTTTGGCCAATACCTGGTGGTTTAGGACTTACACTCACAGCTTAATACTCAGGGATTACTTTTGTCAAGTCCTGGGGGGGTCATATGAGGTGCTGGGGATCAATCCTGGGCCCACCATGTGCAAAGCAAACACCCTACCTACAGTGCCCTGTCCCCCACACTCAAACTCTCTGTTGAAACATTTAAGAAGCAATCTCAGATTATCTTAATGATTGGGGTGTTTCAGCCTAGAGCGCTTGGATTGCATGTGTGAGGTTTTGAGTTCAGTCCTCTGTGCTACAAAACAGCAAAATAATATTTAAAAATTAACATGCCCAAAAAGCAAAAAAAAATTAACGTACATAAAAATAAAACTTGAAGTGGGTGGTGCGTGGGGATGAAGTTTATGCTTTGCATATGGAAAGTTTGGACAAATCCTGAGTACTTCTGGGTGTGACCCTCAAAACTAGTCCCTCTTCTCCTAAAAAACCCTTCAGGGTTGGGGAGATAGAGGACTAGAGCTGTGATAGAGTACGTTTGATCTGTTTCCTCACATGATCCCTTGAGCACCAACTATATGTTTTGAGCAGAAAATACATGTATGCTATATGTGTTTCAGAAGCTGACAAGAATTTTCTCTTTCAGAATTCTGTAGCAAAGCCAATGCTTCAGAAAACAGCTCAAGCTACCATTGACGAGAGCTCTTCAGGATCCCCAAAAATAGATAAGAAAAAAAGTCCATATGGATTGTGGATACCTGTCTAAAAAGAAAACCTAGCTCAGGTTGCCTGAAATGCACTTTAATTACAAGTTTGTGTTCCTAGCATTATTCCATTAATGTGAACCATGTAGCAAAATTGTGGCACTAAAAACTCCAACACAAAAAGATGCTTAAAATTAACATTTTAGATTTCTCTTACAGATAGGAGATAGCACAAATGGACCAGAAGTTACATACAGGTGGGAGTCTTGTGTATATTATATATATGTACACACATATATGTATTTGTAAATGTTTTAATGATTATGTAAAATGAAATTTATAAACCACAGTATTTAACTGATTGTTGTATAAATAAATTTCTGGTTTTTATTTGTTCTTATTATTTGTATATATTATATAATGGGTCTTTATGAAAAATGAATGTATCTTTTGTGTAAAGTTCTATTCATCTCAAATCCAAATCCATGGACTGAACAAATCCATAGGGCTCAAATCCATGAACTGAACCATATAGGGACTCAAATCCAAATCCATGAATTGAACCATATAGGGCTCACAGTCTTCCCTGGGAATTGATGAAAAATACTGCATCTTAAGTCTATTCTTGAAACCTGGGTCTCCTAATGATATAATTTGGGGGCGCGCGGTTGGGGGGGCGGTGAGTGACGCACACCCAAGATGCTCAGGCCTACTTGCTCCGTGCTCAGGGATCAACTCCTGAAGTAGCTTGGGGACCACATTTAGTGCTGTGGATCAAACCCAGGTCAGCCACAAGCAAGGCAAGTACCTTGCTTGCTGTACTGCTATTTACTAGCTCATCCTAACAATATTTTTGATAGTGATATTCAATGAAATTGGAAAGGTTTGGTCTAAAATCTTAAATACTAGCAAAGAATTATCCAGGAAGAGCGAAATATGAAGCTCAGGTGTATAATTTCCTTATTAAAAATAATTATGCTGGAGAGATAGCTCAACTAGTTGAGAGCATTCTCTGCATGAGAGAGACCCAAATTTGAGCCTGCAGCACTGCATGGTTCCTTGAACACTAAAGTGTGACCTAAAAATAACACCCCCCCACCCCCCAGTTAAGAAGGTAATAATGTTCTTCTAAAGAAGAAGTTAGGTTAACTTTTATTCTGCACACCTGGAAATAGTAGTGGACTGATTTGGTTGCATTGAAGTTGAAGACTTAACAGTTGTAAGATTTGTAAGAGAGGAAGGGTGATCCAGGGATAGCTTAGTGACAAAAGTTGCCTTTACAAAATACTGATGCTGCAAGTTCAGTTGCTGGCACTATCTCACATAGGACTCACTCTTGCCAGGGACTCTTATGGGGTGTTGGGTTAGCACTTGACTGCTTGCAAGGCAAGTGCCCTACCCATTATATCATCTAGCCCTACATTGAATATACTTTTATTACAGTAACATTTGAGGGATTGAGGCATACCCAGTGATTCTTAGGTCTTAACTGGATTTGGTATTAGGGATCAAATTCAGGCCTCTAGCATGCCAAGCCTGTTGAGCTAACTCTGGCCTCAGTTACACTTACATCTTTATCAACTTGGTCACTTAAAAGCTTCATACTATGTGCTTAACTGGCCACATTATTAAGACTTTAATGTGGCATTGTATGGAATATGCCTTCAGGTTTTCTACAGTTTTCCATAATAACTGTTCAAGCCACATATTGTACCCTTTTTTTTTTTTTTTTGCCTGGTGGGGGTGCTGGCTCAGGACTAACTACCTAACTGGTGGTACTTGGAGGATCAACCATTTGGTGACTGAACCTGAACTCCTGCATGCAAAGCCTGAGATCAAACCATTTTGATCAAACCTTTCAGCCATTTCTTGAGCCCTCTAAAATGTTTAAATTCCTATTTTTTTTAACCAAGTTGTGTTAATACTTTGACAAATATATTAGCTTCCAAGGATAGCTGTTTTTTAAAAAATGACATTCTTTGTTTTTAATTTTTTTTTATTTTGGCTATACCCAGTGATGCTCGGCTTGCTCCTGGCAGGGCTCGGGGCCATATATGATGGTGGGATCAAACCTGGGTCAGCTGTGTACAAGGCAGATGCCTTACTTGCTGTATATTGCTCTGATTTCTTAAAATTTTTTAAAATTATATTTGGTTTTGAGGCCATACCCAGTAATGTTCAGAAGTTATTCCTACTGCACTCAGGAATTCTGATGTGGTTGTTTGGGGAACCAGATGGGATGGTGAGATCAAACCCAGGTTGGCCACATGTAAAGCAAGCATTCTATACTTGCTGTATTCTTTCTCTGGTCCACAAACATTACTTTTTTTTTTAATGTAGGAATATTGCTGTTTTTATTCAGCCATTGATTAGGCTAGGCATGAACTCCACCTTTTAATTTTTTTTCCTTTTTTATAATTTTTTTTATTGAATCACCATGAGAGCAGTTAAAAAGCTTTCAGGTTCAACTCTCAGTCATACAATGATGAAACACCCGTCCCTTCACCAGTGCCCATTTTCCACCACCAAAAACCCCAGTATACCCTCCATCCCACACCCTTCTTCTACCTGTGGAGCAGATGATTTCCTCATTACTCTGCTCTGATTACATTTTGACACCAGTGCCACCATTATTATTTGGGATTTTACCCCAACGCACAGATCTGCTGAAAAGGCAACAGTAGACAATTTGCTTTCTATTGCTGATTATGAATAACATGTCTCGTGGCCACGTGATTTTGGAATTCCAAAATTTTAACAAATCTGGAGGGATTTCTGCAAAAACCTGCTGGGTTCTGAGATTTGTTTCTGAGCCTCTAGGATCATGGCCATTAGGCAGCTTGATCAGGAACCAGAGAGGCTATTTGTGGATGGTGACTTGGGGTCTTATTGGAGCAGGGAGGAAAGGGCTGGCTGGTCCTGCTGCGGGGACCAGATGCGTTTCTGCCAAAAGCCGTTGGGTTCCGAGACTTGTTTCTGAGTCTCCGGGATGGCCATTAAGCAGCTTGATCAGGAGCCAGAGAGGCTGTTCGTGGGCAGCGACTTGGGGTCTCGGGTTTAAAACGTACTTTTAGAGGATTTCCTGCCCTCTATTCCTGTACCCAAAAATGCACTTGGGCTGTAGGTAGATGGCACAGGATAGGTAAGAACCTGTAATTGTGGACATTATGGGTGTAAGAGAACTAGAATAAATTTCCAGTAGCATTGTTAACTTTCTCAGTAGTTTGCAAAAATTAGTACTAATCAGCATCCCACCTGAAGTTACAAAGTTCAGTTCTATTTTCTGGGCCACATCCTGCAGAGCTCAGGGCTTACTGGTTCTTCACCCAGGGATCATTCCTGGTGGGACTTGGGATCATATGTGGTACCAGGATAAAACCCTGGTCAACTGCATACAAGGCTTATCTACTCTACTAGTGCTCCAACCCCCAAAGTTCTTTTCTAAGTAAATGTACAATAAATTTCAGGACAACAGTAACTCACATTTGTAGCTCAAACTTTATAAACAGAAGACTTTTTTTCTAAAATAAAATCACTGTCCTCCCATTGTTCATCGATTTTGCTCGAGCGGGCCCAGTAACTTCTCCATTTTGAGACTTGTTGTTACTGTGTTTGGCATATTGAATACATCACGGGTAGCTTGCCAGGCTTTGCCGTGTGGCTAGATACTCTCGGTAGCTTGCCAGGCTCTCTCAGAGGGGCAGGAGAATCAAACCCAGCTCGTCCGGGCTGGCTGTGCGCAAGGCAAATGCCCTACCGCTGTGCTATCGCTCCAGCCCAGCGTGTTTGCCTTGCGCGCAGCCAGCCTGGTCGAGCCAGGTTCGATTCCTCCGTCCCTCTCGGAGAGCCCGGCAAGCTACCGAGAGTTTCTCGCCCGCACAGCAAAGCCTGGCAAGTTATCCGTGATGTAAAATAAAATATTTGCAAAAAAAAAATATTTGCATAAAAATAGACCTTACGGGATATTTTACAAGGTATGTGGTGTGTGTGTATGTGTATGTGTGTATATACACACCCTACACAGAAAATTCTAGTATAATGGTACAATGTGGCAGTCAAAATAGTTCCTTAGAGATTACTTAGCAGTTCTTTCCAAGTTGTGTTTAATTTCAGCAGTATGTTTCCCCTAGAATCTTTCTGCCTTGTTGAATTTGGCATTCCATTCATTTATTGGTCAATATCTGCATTATTTGCTCGAGCTGGCACAGCGGTAGGGCGTTTGCCTTACAAGCGGCCAACATGGCCGACCCGAGTTCGATTCCTCCGCCCCTCTCGGAGAGCCCGGCAAGCTACCGAGGATCTCGCCCGCACGGCAGAGCCTGGCAAGCTCCCCGTGATGTATTCAATATGCCAGACACAGTAACAACAAAGTCTCCAATGGAGACGTTACTGGGCCCGCTCGAGCAAATCGACGATCAACAGGAGGGCCTTTACCTTTTACCTTTATCTGCATTATTATTTAAGGACATCTTTGCCTATAATTGTTTCATTTTTTAAATTCTGCACTGTAGCACTGTAGCACTGTCCTCCCCTTGTTGATCGATTTGCTTGCACGGGCACCAGTAATGTCTCTATTGTGAGACTTGTTGTTACTGTTTTTGGCATATCGAATATGCCACAGGGAGCTTGCTAGGCTCTGCCGTGTGAGTGGGATACTCTCGGTAGCCTGCCAGGCTCTCCGAGAGGGACGAAGAAATCGAACCCGGTTCCACCGCGTGCAAGGCAAATGCTCTACCTGCTGTATTATCACTCCAGCCCTTTTTCAGTTCTTTGAGGAAAAAATATAGTTAAAAGCAAAAGCAGTCTCTTTTAGAAAAGTGTTCTTTTAAAATACATTCAGTGAGCTTTCTTGAATGTAATTTTAGGTAAGTTAGTACCATTAGATGTTCTGGTCTAAAATTTGAAAAATAACAGGTTAATGTGTGACGTATAAGCACAGTGACACAATATTTTGAGAGATAATTTTAATATTTCTTGATTGAGTCATTAATACAAATGGTGAATGGGACTGTCTTACACAGTTGAAGTGTTCCTTAATTTCCTGTCTTATATTTCAGAGCCATAAAGTTAATATTTTCATTAGGTAAAAATCAAGTACTAAAACTTTAGTCTGTATAAAACTGCTTTTCCAAGTCAATGACCATTCCATCAGTTTCCTCAGTGTTCCATGAAGACTGTAAGATGTTGGGTAGACTTGCCACTTTTTAATTTGATTTTTATAAATTTGTTCACAATTTATTACATTCTATATTCCAACACCAATCCCACCACCATTACAACTTTCTACCACCATTATTTCCAATTTTCCCAACCACCATCCAAGCCTGCCCCAATAAGCAGGCCCTAAGTGATTTATTTTGTATTGCTTGTTATGATTAATTCGCTAAAAATGATTTTAGA